TAGATAGATAGATAGATAGATAGATAGCTAGATAGATAGATAGACAGATAGATAGCTAGCTAGATAGATAGATAGATAATAGAGAGATATATTCATAGATTGATGGTAGATATGTGTAGATATATATATAATATATATAGATTGATAGATGGATCGATAGATATGTATATTAACAGAGACATTTATTCATAGATCAATCGATAGATATATACAACAATAGAAAGACCGATAGATATGTATATTTAAATATATATGTGTATATATATTCATAGATTGATAGATAGATATATGTATATATTTTCAAATTGATCGATAGATATGTATGTATACTAATAGAGAGATATATTCATAGGGAGATTGTCCAATCGATGGAGATTTCTTAACTCCCATTTTTTTGTCATTTTATAAATTATTGCAAAATTTATTTGCTTAGCTTTTATTTATATAATTGTCGCAATCTATAATTTTGCCATTGCAGCAAACGACGAAACAGTTGATTTCGTCAAAGTTTTGGCATTTGTTTGGCTTTTAAATATTCGTGTTCAACTTGAGAGTCTTGGCGAGGTATTTGCAATTGTTTTTTTTTAAGTGTTTCCTACAATTACATTACACGCATTGCGAGGCAATAATAAACGAGCTGATATTAGTAATTAGACGCGTTTAAATTACAGTTAGCCGAGCTCTCAGCTGATGTAAAAATGGAGGCAAGGAGCCAAAGCAACAACTTTAGCACGAAATGTACGCAAATCAGCCAAAGGCAAAGCAAAAGTTGTAATTTTTCAATTGAATGCACAGCAAATGTTGCTGTTGTTGTTGTTGCTGTTGTTGCACGCATATTCGCAGTCAGGGTTAAAGAAACAACAACAACAACTGCAACAACAACAACAACAGGGCGACGGGGGTAATTAGCATGCACTGCGATTAACATATAATTAATTGTTGAAATAAAAATGCCAGCAAAAGGCAAAAATGAAAATAGCTAGAAAAAATTAAAAAAAAAAAAATAATAAATTTATCAGCATTTGGCATCGCCATCGCATGCAAAATACATTCCCCTGCACAATATCGCAATAACAACAACAAATCAGCTGAGAGCTGGCCCAAGCCGAACACTGAATGCCCTAAACAGAGTTTGCTAACTTTAGCTTGAAAAGAATGCCAATAACATAGCTTGAATTTCAGTTCACATAAGTAGCATGTTAGGCAGACATGTTAAGTTAACATAACATACTGTTGACAAAGTGAGGTATTGCTATGTTAAGTATTTCTCTGTTTACGGTGTTGACTGTTAACTGTAAACCTTGGCTAAGCTAACATACAACTATTTACAGCAATGCGCTGTATATGCAGGCTGTTAAATTAACATGGAACATAACTGTTAACTATGTTTACTACCAAGCTTAATTTCAATAAGGCGTATTCGCAACTGTAAGGCTATTAGAAAAAAAGAATTAGAGCAGCTAATTTCGTCATTTAAAATATTTTAATTTTATGAACAGATCATAATTTTCTTATACTTTTCAATTTTATATACTTTTTATTTAGTTTTATATTATATTATTTATAGTTTTATATATTTTGCATTTATTATTATATTAAAAAAAATATGAACAGCAAAATTTGTCGTTTTCGAATAAGATAAAATTGAATTAAACAATTGAAAATGTATATAAAATAATTTTAATAAAGTTTATTTATTTTATGACGACGAATTTTGTATAAAATATTATTTAATAGAATTTAATTATTTAAATTTTAAGAAATGTGCTAAGAAATAGAATATAATTAAATTATATAAAATTTAAATATTTAGAAAATGGAATATATAAATTTTATATATCAGCTTACATATCTAAGAACCTTTAATTTTATATTAAAAAAGGAAATTTTAAGGCCTTGTCAGCTCGTCCAAAATTATCGTAATACCCGGCAGGATAGTGTATAGCAGCAAGAAACAGGTGCACAGAGCCGTGCGCACTAATTAGTTGCACAACAGACCGAAAAAACAACAAAAGATACGCAAATATTTTGCGCTGCATTCGCTGCTTTCATAACTGCAATTGCCAACGGCAGCGACGAGCAGCGACGCTGACGTCAACAGCGACGTCGACTTCGACGTCTGTGGCACGCAGCATTACAGTTTGTCTCGAAAGTTCAATTAACGCATTTTCCTAGCAAATAGCTTGTGAGGCGCTGCGCGGGCCACTTAAGCGCTCAAACAGGCCAGAACGTCTGAACGCTGAAACGAAAGACTGAGGCAACGAACTTGCCAATTGCGAATGCAGCATGTGCGCCGCAATCGATATGTGGCACAGTCAGAGCCACAGTCAGAGCACGCCTGGATTATGAACGCAATGCAATTGTTGCATATGCAAATCTAGCCATAAATCAGCTAAATCTATGCGTTGCACTCCCGCTGCGATATCGAAATGAAGTTCTCAGCGATCGCGTCCGCCTGCCCCAGTGTGGCAGCTATGTTAGGCTGTGTGGCAGCCGGTTGCGGCTATATGGCTGTCTTGGCTGGCTTGGCTGTTGTCATTGCCAAGGCCCGCAGTCGGAGGTGGCAATTTATGTGTGGCAGCTAGGCGCACATTACGCTTATGTAAGTAATTAGCAATTGTTTAATTATAGTGCAACGTTTTGCCTACTTTCCGTCTTGCCGCATGCCGCATGCCTCCTTTTTGGGTTCTTTGCCCCGTTTGGCTTAACTAATTGCGCCAAGACAGACAGACAGACAGACGGGCAGACAGACAGACGGGCAGACAGACGGGGCAGCTCTTGAGTGTTGTTGTTGCCACAGGCTGACACAATTGCCTGTCAATTGTAATTAGTTGTGCTTTTTGAGCATTGCACGTGTGGTTGGTGGAGCGAGGGGAGAGGGGAGAGAGCTGTGCTGCTGCTAGATTGCAGTTATTCAAAAGGGTCGATTTTTTATTCATATAACATATATATTTATTTTTTACTTGGAAGCAGCTTACGAGTCACAGTTAGACTGGCTTTGTGGCGAATAGCGGCAAACTTTTACGTTTTATACAGAAATGTATTTTTATTTATTTATAATAAATATATAAATAAATATTACAAAAATGGTTTGGGCTTACAAATTGATTGAGGCATATTAAATATCAATTTAAACTATTTATTCATTATTTTTAATTTAATTTTAAAGTATATCTTTCCATTTGCATTTTCAAGTATTCAGCTAGTCAACACGCCATCTAGCGCTAGTTAGCGGCAATTGCTTGGCATTTAGTATTCTAATCAGCATATTCTGATTTATTTGCTAATAAGATGCTTTAAGGGATGAACAGACGTTCCAGAACAAAATCCTATATGATTTAGTTTAAGTAATTTTGAAAAGGGGAAAGAGTGGGAAATAGCATCGAATATTTATGCAATAGACTTTCCATCAATTTGGCATCTAAATCTGGCAATATTATTCGAATATCCTATATAGACATACATCAAAATTTTCCACTCCCGATAACTCGGTCAAATCTCATCCGATTTTCACGAGGTTTGGCTTTTTATTCATGGTTTTCCCTCTAGATTGATCTGGCATTCAAATCTGAACACATATTTTTAGTCGAAATTCATATCAAAATTTACCCGAAGATTCGTATATAGACATGGGTCAAAATTTTCCACTCCCGATAACTCGGTCAAAACTCAACCGATTTTTATGAGATTTGGCTTTTTATTCATGGGTTTCCCTCTAGATTGATCTGGCATTCAAATATGAACACATAATTTTTAGTCGAAATTCATGTCCAAATCTTACCCCAATCATATGTATATAAACATAAGTCAAAATTTCCCATCCCCATAACTCGGTCAAATCTCATTTGGTTTTTACGAGCTTTGGCTCTTTGTTTATGGTTTTGCCTCTTAATCAATTTGGCATCTAAATCTGGCAACTTCATTCCAGGTCGAAATTCATTTTGAAATAGTACCCTCAGATATTCTATATCGACATAGGTCAATATTTCCCAATTTTCGGGTATATCCGCTAGCAAAAGTATATAAAAAAATATGCATATGTTTGAGCCAGAAAATAGAGGAGTATCCAATCACACAAAGGGTCTGTGAGTTGCTTGCATTACTTTTTTCCATTGCTTGACGCTTGTAATTCTCAACACGTTAAAGCCTTGAGAAGAAGACACATCTTTTGCAATCCTATAGTCGATATTATATAGATATATCTGCTTGGGTAATATCTAAAGGCTCTTGATCGAACCTTTCTATATCTTGCCTCCTAATGCTAATTATTGTTTAATATTTATAAAAGAGATTAAATATGTATTTAAATATATTTGTAGATAGTGTAAATATATGAATAATACTTGATTGTTATGTGTTAATGTTCAGACATTATTTCTAGCATCTTTTTAACTATCTTCAAATAGTTTTAGCAGCTGCCCATTTAAGAAAACACTTCAAAAGTCGCAACAACAGCAGCAACAGCCGCAATGGTAGATTGTCTGCGAGTTGTCTGCAATTGCCATTCAGGTGCAAAAATCAGTTAATAACTCTTTATAACACCAGCCAATAATGCCGGCAACTTGGCAACTGGCAACTGGCAACTGGCAACTGGTCGCTGCCAGCAACATGATTCATCACGCAGACAGCAGCAGCAGCAGCAACAGCAACAAATTGTTGAGAGATCTCGTGACAGAAATTGCTGCGGCAGCAATTGGCGGCAACTGACAGCAGCAGCAGCAGCAGCGACATCTAGCGGCGGCAATTGGAGTGTTAAATAACAATTACAACTTTATGAAGTTATTTGCGTTGCTTTATTGTTGTTGTTGCTGTCGTTGTGTTTATTGCAATGCATAAAAGCTGAACAACAAGGCAAGGCAGAGCGAGTGAGAGAGAGAGAGAAGGGGAGAGCGGAGGGAATGGACTCTGCAGTTGGGGAGGTCAGCTCTTTTGGCTAATTAGTGCAGAAGGCAGAAGAGCTCAGATCGCAGCAGCTACAAAAAGGGTTTCCAAAACCAATTTCAGATATGCATCTGTTGCTGTTGTTGCCGAAGTTGTTGCTGTTGTTGTTGCTGTTGTTGTTGCTTGGCCGCAGCACGCCCTCCATTGTGGCCAAGAGGTCGCAGCCAGGCTTCTGTTAGGTAGATCGACTCGCAGGCAGCTGAATTAAAACCAATCACAGCAACATGCAAAAGAATCTGCAGCAACAACATGTTGCTGCTGTGGCTGTTGCTGCTGCTGCTGCTTGGTGCTACACCGATTTTTCTTTGGCAGCGTAAAAGTTATATACAAAAGTAATATTCGTCATAATCATAATGATAGGCTTTCAAAGCGTAAAGCAACGGCAACAACAACAGCAACATCTCAGCGGCAACAACAGCAACATCTCAGCGGCAACAGCAGCAGCAGCCGCCATGCCAGTTGATTATGATGATGACTCGCGTTCGCAACGAGTCCTCGCTGTGGCCCACAAAGTAGCCGCATGCAACGGGCTACGGAGAGGAGGCTATACAGAGAGGGGGTGGGGGGAAGGGGGGGTTGTTGCTTGGGCGCAAGCAATTCAGGCAAAGTCGTCAGTCTGAACGTACGACGTCCGCACGATCCATGCAAATTAAATGAAACGTACGATGCGAACAAAAAGTTCCCATGACTTGAGACTCTGTCGACTGAGGGGGGCTGGTGGGCTGGGTGGCTGAGGGGGGGGGGGGGGGGGGGCGTGCAGGTAGAAGGGGGTGTGGCTGCTGCAGACGCAAAACGGGCAACAGGTCCAACGTGCGCGGCGCGTTGCTTTTCGCTGCGCCTCATTTTCCCATTCATGCATTCAATTCGCCTTCATGTTGTTGTTGTTGTTGTCGTTGTTGTTGTTGTCGTGTTTTTGTTTTTGTTGTTGCTGTTGTTGCCGTGTTGTTGTTGCTGCCCGCGTTCAAGTGTCATAAATCCTTTGGCTTAATAATATGCACCTTGCCTTGGCTTTAGCTTTTGGCTCCAGCTTCATCTGTTTTTTTTGTTCCATATGCTTCCAGAACCTCAATTATGGCCCCGCACTGCAATTGTTGTTGCCTTTGCAGTTGTTGTTGTTGGCGTTTATGTGTTGCAATTGCGTCTCATACTTATTTACGGGCTGTTTAGTTTTTTAACCAAAAATGTGGGCCATAAAACATAAATTGAACACGGCCCAATGGAGCTGGATTAAAAGCAAAAGTTCAAACTTCTTGTCGGTTACTCAATATTTGAGCGAGTTCTGAGTGAAGGCTTCTTTGTTCAAAATTTATCAAATTGAATACATTTTTTCGAAATGTGAAACGCATAGCAGGATACATCTCTAACCCCATAGAGTATATATATTCTATAGATATATCCCTTTGTCTATTCGTCTGTCTGCCTCTATGCAAACTATTCTTTCAGCTTTAAAGCTGGATTCGTCTTTTTGCAGCAGACAGAACATATGTCGGAACCGGCTGGATCCGAGCACTATATCATTTACATCATGTATCATCTTGTATGATCAACTTTTTTGTTTATCAAGATATCTTGACCAAGCTCGTCAACTAAGAGTTTCACTATGCACCCTACATAGATGCTAAATCTTATATCATATAGCTGCTAGAGGAAAGATCTTTCGAAAAGTAGGACAAAATATTTTGTTTTCCAAGATATTTTTATATAACGCAGCATTCACTATTCATACATAGCTTACATACAGCTAGACAAATGTTTACAAAGGTATTAAATCTTTTTCTTGATTATTATTTTGGTTATTTATCTCTAAAATTAAGAAGCAGGTGCACGTCCACTTTTGGATAGAGAGCCATGTTCAAAGTATTTACAGATAGTTCCTATAAAAACTAAGGCAAGTAAAGATGCCCTTGTCGGGAGTAAGCGACTGGAAGATACCCTTAACCCAAAGCCAAGCTGTCTATGCACACAGCTAGCTTTCTTCCCAGCCAACACACACACACACAATCACACACACACACATATACAAATATACCCTGTGCGCCTTATGCCGCGACTGCGCTTCTTCTTTCCTCTGCTCCCACACTATATATGGGCAATGTGTTCTAGGTTAACTGCGGTCTTTATAGTCCGATCTATAAGAAATCTTCAGGGCTTAAAGATGGCATACAAAAGTGTGCATATACCAAGCCGCAAGGTTCTAGCTTCAAGAATGAAGTTTTTACTAATTTTAAAGGATACTGAGGCAGGAATTCAAAAAGTGCAAAATTTTTAATCTGCATAAGCTACAAATTAGACTACACTCCAAGTAAAATGTATCTAGCTTCCATTTTGCTTGAAAATCCACATTTAAACTTCGATAGTTATGTATATTTATCGATAACATCAAGAAAAGGAAGACCTATCGAAAGTAGGATAAGTGAAAATAACATTTTAGGCTATTTACCAGAGTTGATTTAGTTTTTCGGCACCGCCAATTAATGGACTACTGTTGCTCGTGGATTCGTCATGGCTTTTTGGGCTCCCCTTTGGGGAGTTGGGGGGAAGTGCAGCTGTTTGGGCCCGTCGAACCGCCCAGTTTGGTCATGAAAAGATGCCAAACTGCAACTGCAACTGATGCATTTTGGCATTTGGCATTGGCCATTGGCGGCGCATCGTCACGTTTGGGCAGTTAAATTTTGTGTGCGGCCGGTGGCCAGATTGGACGCGGCTCCGTTTGCGGTGTTTACCATAAAAAATGGCAAATCTGTGCTACGTTTTTGTGCGTTTTTTATATATTTATTTTCCCACTTTTTTTCTCTTTTTCCTGCTGCATGAATCAAGGACTGGAAATTCGTGGCGCTTATGAGTTCGAGTTCCAGTTAACTGCAGACATAACTCATACGCGCCATGGGCCGCAATTTAATGAGAGACAGGAGGAGAGGGAGAGACGGGCAGAGGGAGAGGAGCTTCCAATTAGCAATAATAAAGTTGAGACGTGATATTTCATTTGGCGAAAATTTGCCTACGTCCCATAAAACAAATGCGCGCTCCTTCCACAGAAAGGCAGCTGTTGCCAAATTATATGCATAAATAATAATTTGAAGCAGAACCAAAGTCAGAAACTGAAACAGAGACAAACCAAAACTATAAATTTGCCGTGGAACGTGAGCGAGAAACATCCTGCTGCATGGTTCAGGATATGTTTTATGTTTTATGTTTTATTTAACTTCACTTTCGGCTGCTGCCCCCGAGAGAATAGGGAAGGGGGTGAGTGGGGAGGGGAGGGGAGGGGGTAGCACAAACCCTATCATTAGCATTTCCGCTTTTTATTATTATTATGCCACATATACCCTGCCTGAGTGCGGGGCATTGTGCAGTGCCAGATGATCATACTTAATCATAATTTAAGCTGCGAAGCTCTGCTTCTTCTTCTTCTCGTTCCTCTCGTTCTTCTTCATCTTGTTGCTGTTGCCGTTGCTTGTCATATGAAAATTGCAGCGCCATTAAAGTCCAAGTCGAACCGCACCGTCCGCAGTCCGAGCGGATATGTTGTCTGAGCACAAAATATTGCTCAAAATTATCCGCAGCGCTAAAATTAATTGACTTTTGGCCCCAAAAGGTTGCGCGTACGCAAATTAGCTCTCGCCAAATTTCTATTGCCGCCAGTTTCCTGGGAACACAATTAGCGTTCCGATAAAATGCCCGCAAAAGAGGAAGAACACACAGATTTGTGTGTGCGCCTCGAAGGCGTTAAGAGCGCGACCCGCTTTTACAGTTAGCCAACAAATTGAGTTTCGCGGCCAAAAGTCTTTGGCCTACACTGGGCGAAAAAATGTCGACTGTCGTCTATAGCTTGGACAGAGATTCAAATGTTGTGCTTGAAATTGTGGGCAACATTTTTAGAATATTTTTTCACTAATTAAATGTGTCTCAGATTTTCTTACTACAAATTAGCCACAACATTTTTATATGATTATTTTTATTTATTTTAAATAAATTTAAAGCTGTGTTATCCATCTTTCCATCTCTCTGCTCTTCAACATATTATTTTAATTCATAAAAAAATATTCAATAATTGAGCTTTTCTGTATAAAAATTAACTACAATATATATATATATATATATATATAGAAATATATATATATATATTTATAGAAAATGAATTAAATAATATTATAATAATTATTTTTAATTTAATTGCAATAAATTCAATTTTTTTTTATCCCCCTTCTGCTATCTATATAATTGCTATTAGATTTATAGCTGATAGATAATAAAAATCAGAGCATTAGATTTGATAAGCATTAGAACTAGAGTCTGCCTTCAGCTTAGAAGTCCTTCTGTCTACAGCATGCCCCATTGATTTGTGTCCAAATTAATCTCATGGATAGCACAAGATTTCTTTGATTAAATACGTTTTTTATCCGTTTTATTCTTAGACCTTAACGTAGATTTGTATTTTATGCATGGGAAGAAAGGTTCTTGACAAAAAGAATTTTTATGCAATTTCAAACTATTTTCGATTCGAGCTTCAAATTGTTGTTTCTTTTTTTTTTCGCTGAGTGCAGCCGCAGACACAACAAAAACAATTTGCCTGTTCTACAAAGATGAATGGATGCCCGATTCTGCGGCGGTCCTTTTTTCTGTTTAGGCAGCGCAACACACACACACACACTCACACACACGCAAACACACGCACACATTTTTGGAGTCTAAATTCAGTGGCGATTGCTTGGACAGTTCCTGGTATTAATTTCAAATTCATAATACGAATTTCATTTCGGGAGCCGCCAAGCTATCCACGCTGGCGGCGCGGCTCTCTTCTTTTTGTTTCATACTCTTTTTATTATTCTTTTTTGTTTAAAATAAACTCGGACAGCATTTAGCTGCGCCCGAGTGACCTTCAGGCGCCCCGCTTGAAAGAAGAACCCTTTGAGCCCGCTTTCGCTAACTGCTGCTCACATTTGGCCACAGTCTGAGCCACATGACGCCGTCTTCGACATTTATGGCCAACAGTCTGTCTGCACCCCTATCCCTTGCCCTTGCCCTTGCCCTTACTCTATATCCCTTCGCCCACCTCCCGCACAGCTGACTTCCTCCCTCAACTCTTTTGGCGCGACTTCGTTTTGCGGTTATAAAAATTGTGCCAACATTTTTATGAGTTTTCAACACTTTGGCGTTGGCCCCATTAAAGTCGCAGCACTTGTTGTTGCTCTGCTTCCT